CAAAACATTTGACATTACGAATTACACACGAATTATGTTAGTGAATTTTGCCACATAACAAACATTTGCCAAATTTGTGTTCATGTTCTTGATCTGCTTCACAACTCAGTGAACTTTTATCTGAATAACCATGAAGACACATTGGATTGGGATGACGTACTCACGTAGTGGAATTCTCGATATCCTGACGAATCAGCTCGAAACATTTTCCTTCTTCACAGAATTCGAAATTTGTACACCTTACATAGTCTATTAGTAGTTGCCTGAGAATTGCATTAGGAAGTGAAATAGGTTCAAATGGTTGTGGACGGAATAGAAGAAGCTTTCGCTTAACAGGCTTCCGTGTCTAGTAGCAGGGGATCACCAAATCCTCCAGGCAGGAACCTAGGTATGGTAACAATAAAAGAGGAAAAGAAATTGGTAAATCATAGTGCGATGCTGTCCTTGGTCCTTAAGAATAGGTCAAGTTGCCTCTTGAAGGACTCCTGAGAAGTCGCTTGGACTAGCTCGGCCGGCAGCGAGCTCCAGCTTTTGACAACTCTTAAGGAGTAGAAGTTGTGTCTACATTCCGTCTTGCTATGTTGTGTTTCCAGTTTCTGGGTGTTACCCCTTAGGTTATTGTTCGGACTACGCTTAAGTAGGTGTTTAAGAGGATGTCCAGAAGTGTTAAGAATACTATAATCCATTAATAAATCACCTCTAAGACGCCTATATTCTAGTGGGTAAAGGTCTAGTGAACGGAGGCGTTCTTCGAAAGGCTTAGATTTGAGTCCTCGAACTGATTTCGTGGCTCGCCATTGGATACGCTCCAAAGTGACCTTGTCCTTTTGGAGTGAGGGGGGAGTACTATGTTTCCGTACTCTAAATGGGGACGGATGAAACTATTGAAGATTGTGTGGAAAGTTCTTCCGTCAAACTGACCAAAAATGCGCCTCAACGTTACCAGTGCAAGGTTTGCTCGGAAAGCATTTTTGTCACAGTTAGCGTAAGACTTCAAATCATGGGGCACCAGGACTCCTAAATCTTTTTCGACTTGAAATACCACTAGAGAGGAGTTTTCTAAGTTGTAACTGTAGTTTGCGACATGTCGCAGATGGACCAGTTTACACTTTGAAGTGTTAAAGGTAAGTCCGTTATCGTCTGCCCAACTTTGAAGTCGAGTCAGATCCTCTTGAAGTGCCTGTATATCGTCTTGGTTGCGTATCTCTCTCCAAAGTTTCACGTCGTCGGCAAAAAGTAATAAGTCTGACGTTACCTGTTGAGGAAGATCATTTATGTAGATCAAGAAGAGAAGAGGCCCTAGTACTGAGCCCTGGGGGACCTCACTAGGACATTCCACAGCCTGAGATAAAGTGGAATTAACCCTAACCTTAAAGTGTCGATTTTTTAGGTATGAAGTAAGCCAGTCGATTAGAGGTGGTTTGATACCTAGTCGTTTGAGCTTGTTGATAAGACACAAGTGGTTAACCTTATCAAAAGCTTTTGAGAAATCAAGGTAAATGACATCAACCTTTCCCTTGCGATCGAGGATGCTTGTCCATCTGTCCACCGCAGTCAGCAGGTTGGTTATACAAGAGTAACCCTTCCTGAAACCATGCTGTTGGGGTGAGAAGAAATTTAAGGGCAGTAGGTAGTCATTTAAACCGTCGCATATCAGGGACTCCATGAGTATTGAAGGTAACGACAGAAGAGCTACCGGCCGGTAACTTGAAGGTTCGCTGTCTTGACCTCCTCTGAAAATTGGTGTGATGTGAGCCAACTTCCAATTTTCCGGTAGTGTGCCTCAGCTTAGCGAATGTGAGAACATCACGCTAAACGTCGTTGCCAGGATTGAGGCTGCCTCCCTCAGTATGGCAGGATGAGCCATATCCGGGCCAGGAGAAGTGTCAAGTCTTAAGTGCTGCAGTTTCCGGAACACCAAGTCAGCGCTTAGGTCCACTTCAGAAAGTCCTGTGGAATTGCAGATGAAACTGTCGTCAATAAAGTTGATATCAGCCGGTTGAAATGTTTGAGAGTAATGTGCCGCCAGAAGGTTAGCGGCGTCGCCATCGTTGTTGGTCGGGCCGTTAAGACCTAGCAGTTCAGAAACTCCTGTTTTGGCTTGACGAAGAGAGGCTGCATAACGGAATAGGCTTCTAGGGTTAGAGGTAAATTTGTCCATAAGCTTTGTCTGGTACTGAAGCCTATCTTCTCTTATAGCCTTCGTGCATATGTTCCTGATATGTTTGTATTGCCTATACGCTCCTTCGTTATCAGTTCGTTTGTATTCCGCCCAACAGTGCCTTTTGCGGCTTACCAAGCGAAGGGTACGGTTCTTGATTACTGTAGGTGGCTTGAAGCTTTTGGGAACCGTTTGAGGAACTGAATGGTCTGTAGCACATAAGAGCGTGTGCAGCAAGAAGTCCCAATGACCATCCACATCGATTTGAGGGTGAACATCCCAAACCACCTGTTGTAGATGGTCATGTAGAGCTCGCACATTCAGCCGTTTAAAATTCCATCGCAAATTATTGTTGGGATACCTTAGCTTAGTTTTGATGACAAAACTGAAGGCTATGACGGCATGATCGCTTTTTCCCAGAGGAGCCAGGATTGAGAGGTTGTCGACTAGGAATTCTTCGTTAGTGAATACACAGTCTAAGCGCGATGGTGTCTGACTGTTTCTCCAACGAGTTGCCGACCTCACATTTTCATATAAGCCCAAGTTATCGATGAGGTTGAAGAACCGAGCTTCAGTTGAGTTGTCGCCTCCAGTGTACGTGTGTTCCGCGAAGTTGACTCTAGGGAGATTAAAGTCCCCTAGAATCAGGATGTGTGTGAAACCGAGACGGATAGAGCGGGATAGTCCTTCCAGCATACGACTATCGTACTCGGTGTCGGCAGTTGGCTTCCTGTAAATGACTCCGACTAGACACCTGGAAGTACTAGACAACCTTACAGAGCACCATATGGATTCCTCAAGATTGTTAAACTCGAGGTTGTGAACCTGGTGCACCTCCAAGCAAGAGCTTATGTATATGGCTACTCCGCCCCCAATTCCTATTTTTCTGTCGTTGCGGAACAAAGTCATCCCAGGTAATGCTAACTATTGGTCCGAGAACTGAGAAGATATACAGGTTTCAGATATTCCTATTAGATGGGCCTTGTTAGCGTTGCTAAGTTCACGTAGTTCATCCAGTTTGTTTGGTAAACTCGCGGCGTTCATATATAAGCAGTTTATGCTTTCAATTTGGAACGCATGAGCTTCGTACTGTTTTTCTGTATGAACCTTATGTGAATGGACAGGTAGCCCACCTATATGAGGTTTGCCGAGGTGGTAGGCCCTGTCCTTTACACGTTTTTTTATCATTTAGACAGTCCACAAGTGGAATGGTCAGCTGCAAATTGCCTTTGTGCTTGGTCCTAGCTTCATATGGCTTATCCGGGTGCATGTGGATTCCAGTTGGCAATCGACGTCTATTAGCACGAAATGCTTCCAGAACTGCAGCCGCCATGTGGGAAGATGGGAAGGTTATCTTCATTAGACGGGGTCTAAGATCACCGTCCTTCTTGGCTAGTCTCGTCACGTGCTGAGTCAGTATGTGTTTGAGCCTCAAGGACTGTTTGATGAATTTCCATTCCCTGATGTCAGAATTTGATTGAGTAGGGTCTGCATTTTCCGGTATACCTTGGACAATTATGTTTCTTCCGCGGAAGAACTTCTCACGAGATTCTTTAGGGACGTTTCGTATGATATTGCGCTCAGAGTACGGTATGTCGGGCAATATTCTTACGTTACCATCTGATTTCAGTAAGTGACTTGCTAGCAAGACGTCCTCTACGTCGGTAGCATTCTTAAGTGTTACTCGGAGAAGCCTCGGGTGATTTAGATGCTTAGAATCCTTTCCTCGAGTGAGCCGGGTGACCGTCAAAGGCTTTATTCTAGGAAGTTCGAGCTTTTTGTTCAATTCACCCCACAGCATCCTGTCGTTTTTATCCTGCAGACTGAGAGGAAGGTCAGGATTGTCGACGAGGTTCATGATAATGAGAGAATCGTCACGAACTGTTGTTAATTTACCAGGTTTCACGATGGGTTCAGGTTTAATAACTTGTTTTTTGGAGGTCAGTGTGCGTTTATCGGTTAATAGCACTTCCCTCACAACCCAATTTCGTTCGAAATCCAAAAAGATCAAGGAGTGTTATAACGTGATGCGAAAAGGTCTTGCCCCATGTGTGACATAAATGCCCTTCATGCAAACGTTTTATTTTTTATTGCAATTTTGACGGTAGAACGTTCGACTTGACAGTTTCATTCTGTCTCAGTTAGAGCAAGAAAATATGGCGTCCTTTCCCTCATTCTAAATCAATTCTCTGAAAAATATCCGAAGTTTGGGGATCAAAATTCAGAACATATGAATTTAGCCTATAGTCACTGGATTTTTACCCATTAAAGTATAGACTTCTCAGAATTCTGTAGGTAAATTAAGTTACCTAATGACTTATAGAATCCTAAAGACGTCTGAGTACCCTTTAAATAGTTGCTTAACCTAAATCGCAACACAATCTGTGTGAGTGATATTCAGAAATTAGAGCCACAGCACGACAAAGCGAACTATAGACACACCGTTTATTGTCAATGAGTAGTCAAATCCTGAAATTGATGGCAACTGATATGGTTCGTTTGGCTTTACAGAAGTCTTTCAGGAGGAAAATTTACACGTTCTAAAGAACTTAAAAATTTGTTTCACCATATTTTACTAACATATCCGTTATGCGCGTGAAATAATGCTAGCTCTCCGACGGGAGACATGAGTGACATACTGCTACTAAATGCAGAGGTCAGTTAACGCCGTAGATTTTTTCAGTCACAACTGAATGAATCATATGAACTAGGTATATGATAATCGTGTATTGGTTCAGTGAAGTTTGTTTATTTCTTTAGAGCGTGTATGTACAAGCCAATCAGATAGTTACATATTTACTTTACGTGCACTTTGGCGGACAGTTCCAAATTTGCGAAAATGTATCGTTTGGCAGGTCGGTTTCACTAGATGGTTGCGCGTTTCTAGTTGATGTTATGTGTTCATAAACACGGAGAATTAAGCTGTTTGTCATTAGTCTCGTGAACATTATCCATGTTTGTGGAATTCTTTCGGTATTGTATATTTTACAAACGCCTTGAACCATTTGAGCTTTTACGAGATAACCGCTAGTTGTATTTATATTTCATCTCTTGATGCCACTTATAGTTCCGTACAAAATGTGGTTTAGTATCTAAGTATAATAAAACGGGAAGCCCTTAATAGTCTCTAAACTTTGACCTGCAACACAATCTTGAGTAGATTTCATAATATCTGAGGGACATTTTGAAGTTTCTAAATATCGTTAGAAATTGTTTTGTTTCGCCTCAAAGTCAATAAAATTTCTCAGTGATAAGCTCAGACCAGTTGAAATTTTACTGACTCCAAATCTGTGAAATTTGTATGGGAATATTATGACAAACCCTAAAGTTTCAACGTTTTGAGGATTTTCCCAAACTTAGTTTGGATTTTTCGGAGAAATCTTAAACCAGGAAAAATTCATTAGTTTTTAGTCGGACTCTAGAATTTTTTCGCGGGCTTTCTCGATACGTGTGATATTGGAAAGTTCAATGAGACTAATTTATGAACGAATCAATCTAGTTTAATATAACAGATCCTGTGTTTTGACGCGAAATTCATTCACTCATTTGACTAAATACCATTTTGACGTCACACCTTATATCAGTTCTTGATAAAGAAGGTAAATCCAATTTTGAACCTTAACGCCTAACTATAGATCCTAATATATAACCCTTATTTAAACCTGGTACGTAGGTGGATATTCTAACGTCATTTTAGTGTTGTTCGAAGATTGTCCATAAATTATAGTCTCACCAGAATTTCAAGTAGGATGTCATAAAGCAAAAGATAACCTCAGCACAGGAAATATGTTATTACAAAGAGTCGTTTCCAGTTTTCTCGGCTCTCTGAATTTTGCGTGACTTCGAATGTCTGATGATCCTTTATTATTTTTTTACATGATTCTGAGTATCTGATGACGATCTTTTTGTAAACCTCGTGGCCTAAACGCGTTAACTATAGATTAACAGTTATTTGCTTCATGGACTAATTCCGTATTTTCGTTTAACCTCCCTAAACGTACTTACCTTCTCTCATACCATTTGGGAGACCATCATCTAGTCTCAGTACTAGTAACCTGATGGTCGTTGGACCCACTATACCTAACGACAACTCTAAGCCAGTTCCTAACGAATGCCTAAACTTTGCAGTAATATGTTGTCTTAGCGTTGTGTTTCAAATAGTGAGCTGGATTGAAGTCTGCTTTGGCTGCAAAACACCGAGGAAAGGTGCCAAAGCTATACTTGATACGATAATCAAACAGTTAAGATAAGCGAGTTATAATGCGATAATGGTCGGGAAAAATGTATATTTGATGGTATGCAGAGGAAGATAAGCATAATACTTCTTAACTGAATGTGCGGTGCAAAAAAGCGTTTCGCATCAAATTGTGCTATGATTTAATGGTGATGCTTGACCGAGCTGCTTCAGCTAGTGATGTCCGTCAGAACCAATATCGTCGGTGTCGATCTCGAATGCCCACAAAATTATTTATTTCAAGGAGTTGTGTACTACTACGCGGCAATATTGAATGTAAAGATCTAAATACTGTTGTAATTCTGTAACGTTAAAACCCAGCTTTACTTCAGTTTCCACAATTAGGGACGCCATACATGTTTATAAATTTCTACTTAGTCACCTAATTATTTTCAACTAGCGACAAATTAACTATTAGTACATAGTAAAAATGTAAACATTTTAGAATTTCTAAATATCTGAAACTAATGAAAGAAAAATCGTATTGCTTTTTATAGTTCTTTTTCTGCTGTTAAGTCCGGCACTTTGTCTGTTCAATACCAATGATGATGTTATCAAACTCACAGACCAAAACTTTGACCAAGTAACATCAAGCAAGGAACTATGGTTTATTATGTTCTATGCATCTTGGTGTGGACACAGTAAAAATGCTGCTCCAGATTGGAAACGATTCGCCACTAATTTTAAGGTTAGTTGGAATGAAAATTATTTGCTTATCAAACAGGGTATTATAAAAGTTGGTGCGGTTGATTCAGAAAACAACCCTACGGTAACTCAACGGTTTTCTGTTCAGGGCTTTCCAACAATTATTATATTTGGAGATAATAAACACAGTCCTAAACCATATACGGGTAATGTTTAAGTGTGAAACTAGCTCGTTTTTCAGGTGGTAGAGATATTGATCATCTCAACAAAGAGGCTATGCGCGAACTTACTTCTTTAGTGAAATCTAGGACTGGTTCTGGATCGTCTGTAAGTCTTTCTTTAAATTTCTGGTTGTTTTGCCAAATATAGTCAGCTTTTTTATGAATATATTGAGGAAATACGGTACGATGCTAGTTACTTTCATGCGATTCGACTCCTGAAAAACGTACATCAATCTTACTAGTGTTGACGTGTTTTTAGCAAAATGTGTTTTTTAAATTAAATTTTTAGTTGATATTTTTAGAATTTCATCATCTATGCCCATATTGCTGGTAGTGTTTTTACTTGTAGTTAATCTAACTAACTTGGCTGGTATAACTTCGTAAAATCGAACTTGAGCTACATTTTAGGTGTTAGTGATACTACCTGGCTACTCAGATCGAAACCGGTAGAGCTTTGTTCTGCTTTGACTTGTCGATTAAAAGCCATCGTAGTTTCTAGTAGGTTTATGAAAATTTGTATTGGCAATATTATCTCGCCAGTTTCCCAACCACATCACAAGCATGAGAATAAATAATTACAACGAAATTGATTCAACTGCATGGCGATTAAGGTAACTCGCGGCTTTACTAAAAAACCGGCTTATAGGTACTGGGCTTCTACAGGCTCCTCTCAACTTTTTGCGACACGTCAGTCTAATCCCGGTAGTAGCAAGTTTGGCGATAAAATTACATGCTTACATAAGGAAATTGTGCAGTTTGCTTAAGGGTTGAGAAATATGGTGATTGGTGCATTTCGACTAGTTAGAAGCACCAGGGTAACTGTCGAAAGGTTTTTCAGCTCATCCAAGATGCCTAGTGTTAGGAATACTAGTTGCGAAACTGGTGGAATGCCAATGGATAACATCTACCGACGTCTTGGTTGGAAACAGCAGAAGTGATCAGTGTATGTCATGGCCGTGGGGCATGAAAAAAGCTCTATAGGATTGGCGTCTGTCAATCTATCACGGTTCCCTGGTCGGGGTCCGACTGATAGTGCGAATCAGTGTCTTGAGATTTTGTCAGACTTGAATTAGAATATAAGCCAGTAGCATTTCTGTTGTAATTTTCTTTTACTTTACCCGTAAAAATGAGAAAATTCTTTAACTAAAGGAATTTTCGTTTTTTCCTAACCTGAACTGTTTCCTTTATGATACGTTTCGTTCATTCACTTGTTTTTACTTTAATCACTTTTGATTATATTCACCTTGCTTCATCTATCTGTTCATAATTTTATTCACTTGTTTTAGTGGCGCATATTTGTTTCGGTGCCCATTTGTGCCAATATTTGTATTCAATTGTACAAATAAATAAACTATAAGCTATTCATTAATTCATGACGGCAGGTGTGCTGATTGATTATTCATACTACCAAAAGATAATCTGCTTAGATTTATCTCACTTCACTTAATTTTAACAAAGTGACTGCTAGCGCCTAATTTTTTCTCGATTTTCTTAGTATCATTGTCTTTGAGTGTGAAGTTTCATAATCCGTAAGAGATTTAATTTTTCTGTGAATAAATATTGCTTAGAACTCGATATGGAAAATTATTGCTTTTGTCAGTCGAATTTTTTATGTGTCAATACTTCAGTGTATATTCAGTAAAATTGAGGGTACTTAGTAGTTTATTCGTCAAAGTTTGGACTGTATACGTAACTTGCAACGTGTACAGTACTTTTCAGTTTTCTACCTACTTATCTCAGTGGTAACCAGTTATCCATTTAAAACTCATTGAAAGCATGAGTGATATATGCTGCCTTAGTGCTTGTTTATGATGTCATCGATTCTCGATATCAATAGAATTTGACCCGTAAGACGTCATAGAGTCGGTAATTGTACTTCCTGTAGACTCACTTATTATTCCAGAGACTGACTGTAAGACAATTATCGTCTGTTTCTTATGTTTAATTTGTGTACATTACTGCTGACATTTTTTTCTGTCAGGATGACTCTGACAAAGACGATGTAATAGAGCTTACGGACAGCAATTTTGATGAAATGGTTCTCAACAGTCAAGAGCCGTGGTTGGTAGAATTTTTCGCCCCTTGGTGTGGTCATTGTAAGTAAAGTATCTTAGTTTTGCTATCATGTCTTTAATTCATCACTATTTACCTATTTCAGTGTACAAAGCTAGAGTATATCCGCAAAAGTAAGGTGATATATAGGACTAAATTGCATAGTCATCCTCTAAGTATAAGGTGATTTCCAGAAAGTCTAGTTAGGCAGTCGATATTCCAGTGGCTTAGTGGTTGAAGCACTCAACTCTGGACATTTAAATATTTTCATTAAGCCTCACAAAACGTGTATTTCAAAGTTGAGCACTTGATGAACATATAATTGTCATATTAGTTGCACTAATTTCAATCGATATGCGAGAAATTTCATTTGTGTAAATCTAAATTTTGAAAGCCTAGATTGTTCATTTTATTTAAGATTGTGTTTAAATACAATATAAGTTTATGTGATAACTAATCTGCGATAAAATAAATGTTTGTTATTAAGTCATTCATCAATGGAATATATCACCCTTTCAAGCACTAAGCACATAAGCTATTATCACTAGTCGAATTTAAATCTCACTATTGGTTCCTAGGAGACAATTGAGACCATATTACCTGTACTACTGTGGGATCCTCCCTAACAATTTCGTCTCACTGTGTTTATGGAGTATAGTATGCTCATTTTAATCAGGAACCGATTTACTCTTTTAACAAATAATAATGATCACAAAATTGTTATTTTCAAATTCTAGATTTTATAATTCGTATACGAAACCACTCATGATTGCTCGTCAGTCATCAGTTCACTGCAGCTCAATGTAATGTAGTTATATTTTTTCTGTATAGGTAAAAATTTGAAACCTCATTGGGACAAAGCAGCTCGTGAATTGAAAGGAACTGTCAAATTAGCCGCTTTGGATGCCACGGTTCATAGTCGAATGGCTCAGAAATATGGGGTAAATTAATTCTTTATAAGGAAATAAAATTTGTTTTCCACTTGCTTTTGAGGCATTCTGAGTTTTTTTAAAAGTTACCATACTTTTCTGTATCAGTCGATTGGATTTTTGCTTATTTAAGGAAAGGCTTCGTAAAGTTCATTTCAAAGTTATTTTTGCGTTCATAGCTATTCAACGAACTTATTTCGGTGTATGGTACAAATTTTACGATACTTCAGGAAAAAATATTCCCTTAATTCTTATTGGGTATGGTTAATTTTAGTTTAGTTTAATGCCGCTCAGTAACCACGTGGAAGTTCGTATACTGAGATTCAAGCCACGCTTCTGTGAAGACTAGTTATAGGTACTCCTCTTCACTCTCACTGACTAAACCCCCTAGTTTTAGTAAAAGGGATGATGGTCATACGCATTTTGTTAAAAGACCTTTTTCATATACAGAGAGTTTTGTAAGTTAAAAGTAGTTGATCAATCTATGAAACTTTGGCATTCTGTCCCCCGTATGTGGTTGCGATTTTAAGCGCCTTTTGTCTATTGTTGTTGTTCTCCCGTAATAGCTGACCAATATTTTCCTAATCTAGTCATGTTTACTTCTCTACACAGAAGAATGATATATACATGCTTTTTTGTATGTACCCAACATGAATACGTAACTCTGTATGATCGTCTTCTCTTTACTAAATGAAGTTCTTGAAATACTGGATAGTACTGAATAGCAACCTTCAAATTAGTTTTCTGGCAATTCCACTGAGAAGTGGTTTTATGGGTTGGACAATTGATGAATTCAGTAGTTATCCATTGGTAACATTGTATGATTATTGTGCTATTTCACTAACCGAGTGGCCCTCGAAAATTTGAACCACCATCTTCTGACCGGCTGAACAATATTGTGTTCGCTCTAAAACAGAAAGATACTGGATTTGACATCATGTGCATACGGATACGGATAAAGAGTTTCTGACGGATAGATTAGTGCTTTTTTAAAGATTTTTCTATATCTAATGCCAGATTGCAATAAAACTATCTATAGGTTATATATACACACAAAAATCGACATTTGTTTTCGTGGAGTAAAAAATTTTGGCTCAGTTTTAGCATTGATTATTAATTCGTTCAGTTACCTAACACAAATTGAATAAAGCTTATAAATGTATGTCAGCATACCAGACTTATTAGATAATTTACTGCCGAAATGTAATAAAACATTATAGAATTATTTAGGTCACCACATAAATAGATTATGACAACTAAAAATCTTATACTGTAGTGAACTGAATACGGATGGGAACGATCGAATTATATTTAGCACACAATTACTGAGTTACTTGGTAAAATAGCAAAACCATACTATAATACTTAATTTGCAAAATGTTCAATAATTGCCTCGAACTTCATTGTCATTGCATTTCCATACTAATTGCTTTCTATTCCCGCTCTTCCTTTCTTGATCTTCCCCATCTTCTGCTGCCAGACATTACACTCCTGACTTGCATTATATATTACTTATATCAATATAAGTAGCACCACAATAAGGTAATGATTCGGTGAATTTGCCAAACTTTACAACAGTTTAACTTCCAATTTTTATATAATGAAGATAAAGAAATTGCATTTTGATTTAGTGACTTATAAACAACGGAGGGATCAATGATGATCTGGAAAGTAGGCTGTCATTTAGACTATACACATTATTAAATCTGAAGGCTCTCTTAAATTGTTCTGTGAATGTTGATCAAAAAATTCATCTTAATTAAATCACATAAAATTAGCAAATTTCATTGTTTAAATAAAACTATTCCAGTAATTTTAGCGAAGCCGATTTTCGCAACTTCATATTTAGTTGTTTCATTGATTATGGTTTTGTTGAATATGGACATATAATTTGATGTATTTAGTACATAAATAGATGTGGTCACTAACATACATCATATAACGTTATATGGGCGTTTTTTTCTGGTTTAGATTCGAGGTTATCCTACCATCAAATTTTTCCCTGCTGGACCGAAAACAGATGACCCTATTGATTATGATGGTGCTCGAAGTGCAGATGCGATCGTTGCGTGGGCTATGGAAAAAGCCGATGCTTCTGCTCCAGCACCAGAGATTGTTGAATTGACTTCAGCAAGTATTTTAAAAGAAGCTTGTGAAGATCGTCCACTTTGCATCATCAGTGTTTTTCCTATGTTATTTGATTGTCAATCAGAATGTCGTAAAAAGTACCTGGATTTACTAAAATCAGAGGCTGATAAATTTAAAAAGCAGAAATGGGGGTGAGTGTTTAGACATATATTTTATCAATTTTTATGAGCATTAAAAGTCATTCTGTTGCGGTTAGTCACATCCACAGTAATTTATTTAACAGATACTATTATTACTAGTCATGGTGGCCTGCTTGAACATCTGGGCTACCTGTTCCTGCCATCTAGATATTTCAACAAGTTATCTAATTTTGTTTGTTTTCATAAATCAACATTGTTGTTAATCGCATAATCTATTCAGGCGCGTTTATGAGGTGTCCCTTTCTAGGACGAAACGCCGTCCAGTGCTCTCAGGTTTGCAATGATGGTCTAACATTGACCCATTCATGATATCAATTCAACATAACTTCCATCCCAAATTATTCCACTTGAAGCATATGGAAACCCTGTAGAATGTTTGTGTTTAAATCTGCAACTGAGAAATAACATCAATCTTGATGTAAGGGAGATCCAAAGTATTACTCGAAAAAGTCCAGAGGAGCCCAGAAAACGTTGGGATATATTTTATCCAATCAGCGTTGAACGTAAGTTTCTTAGAAATATCCAGAAAGGGAAGAGTCACTTGTCACATTTTTGATTAAATGATTACCTATCCTGCTACTACGTCTAGTATAGTTCCAGAAACTTCCTGAAGATCAAGGCCATCTGAAATACTATAAAACCCTCGATTTTCTTTACGTAAACCAACCTTAGAGTACAGCTTTCTTTTCACACTTTGTATCTTTTCTCTTGTTTTCAAGTCTCCGTGTTGTTTTAGATTGGGGTTATTAAAAGAGCTTAGGAAACCAATTCAAATGATCAGTAAAAAGACTTATCTCCTGAGTCTGGAATATTCTACTTCTTTAACTGGTAATCATAGAACTTTAACGAAATTGATAGCTATACTGAAACTCTCCAGATATTTGTTTTAGTCGTGAGCCGGCCGTTGTTGTTACCTTGACGTGGTGGTCGGGCTTGCTCATCGTAATGAACCAATCAAACTATACTGGTCGGAAAAATCGTTCTTCAAGAACCTACCATGCCAAGTAGATCAGGTGAAGAGCGGTACTACTAAAAGCAACAAACCCAAGGTCCGAGGGCAAAGTCGTACTGCTGATTGTGCAGATGTGTGAGGGCAGTAAGGTGTTTCCTCCAGACAACCAGCATAACAGCGATGCTGCCTTCCCACAAAGGAAGGGTGGGATTAGGAAAGGTCGACCCTAAAAACTGCACACCTTGCCTTATCCCATGGATATCCGTCTCCGGTGGTAAGGTCTCAACAAGTACGGAGTTAACACGAAAATTACCCACAAAATGGTCATGTGTAACCGGCTTCATGCAGTTGTTCCTTGGGGCTTGCGGTCACGCTCTCAGGTCACTAAGACCACCCCTAACCCAATTTCCTCCTCAGGTTACCCCCAGAAGAACCCTTTCACGGTGCGGACAACCGGGAAGTGATAACTGCCCTCATATCTCTAATAGCACTTACTATTTGCTATTCATAATCAATCTCCCTCTTCAATTCATATTATTCCTCCTCCTTTAGTCATAATTTCATCCGGATAGTCGTAACAATGGCTATTTAGCATACCACAAGATAATATTTTTTTACTCCTATAAAACTCATTAATCACATAATAAACTTATTAATATAATTTAACTAAATATTTCTTTTTTATGTAGATGGATTTGGACTGAAGCACTCAAACATTCTAATCTAGAAAATGCACTCGATATTGGAGGTTCAGGATATCCTGTAAGTTGAAAGTTATCATCGCTTATACTGCTAGTTTCATCATACGCTTAATTGTATACTTCTAATATCTGCTAATAAGATGTGTTACCCTACAAATAGTCCTTCAGTATTCTGTTCGTTGGTGTGTATGACTGTCGAAATTTCATCATTTCAATTTAAGCATATTATATAATCGATTATTGGCTTTTCATCCCTTCATCTCTAAACAATTGATCAAAAGATTTTTTCGTAAAAATTTGTTTTCCTCACTTTTATGATCCAATACTATCATTGTCATTTACTGCACTAGACTTTGCTGTATGTGTTGTATATGTCTCCGTTTGGTTTTTCAAATGAATTTTGTCAGTTTATATTTATTTTCTTACTGGTATCATATTCATCGTTTCAAAAGCACCATAGAATTACTAAACCCTTATTGTAACCTTTGATTGTAGCATGGGTAGATACGTAATTATATGTTCATAACTTTAGGGCATGTTAAACTAAATGTTATAAATCCACTCTGTTTTGTAGTTCAAATTTTTGTAACTTAACAAAATAAGCGCTTACGATTACTTACTTTCGAGAAAGTATTGTGTGGCATCAGTTTATAAACCTTTACTTATACTGATATACTTTATTTTTGAAAGTTAAAAAAACATGTACATTAGTTGATAATGCATCACTCTTAGTGAGTTCATAGTACAGATCAATAAGAGGAAAGTAGTTGTCAGTAAGCTGTTTATCCACACAATGGCCAATCACATTTACTTTCACTACCCCACATCACATCGGTAGTCATCAAAGACGTGGTTTTTGGGGTTGGTTTATATAAAAAGTGTTATCGACATTGTGTGAAATAACCTACAAACGTTCCTCGCTGATCACTTAAACTCATCTTTTAATTTTAAAATCGAATATATATGCTTGCAAAGTTGTATAAATTAACTTAAATAACCTCTATTCTCTTTTAGGCTATGGTTGCTGTACATGGGCGTAAAAAGAAAAGGACTACATTACGAGGAGCATACAGCTCAGCTGGAGTCCATGATTTCCTAAGACAACTTTCAGTTGGCGGCGCAACACTTCCTCTATATGATGTGAATTCGTTACCCGAAATAAAAACTGTTGAACCCTGGGATGGAAAAGATGCTCAGGTGAGTCTAATTATGCGCCTAGCCGTAATCAGTCGTTCAATTTGTGTCATATAATCTGCTTTTTATATTTATTTATTGTATCTATATAGGGAAGAAGAGATCAAAATCATCCTGTGACAACTATAGAGAGATTAGTTTAACTAATATGGCATCTAAAATACTAGCCTCAGTCAGTCAGTCAGTCAGCTACAACGTAGGACCAGGCACATATGTGCATCGGTCCAGGTTGCCATACTTCATTAGCACAGCAAGATGAACAGCGGATTCATAGGAGTGGTTAGGTCAAAGGTTGCAATAAGGATATAGTATAGGAAGAAAGAATTAGTTCGTAGAAAGAAAGATATGAAGCGATTTTAGTCTCTTAGTTTAAGGGAAGACAGGGAGTGTATACACCGACGCCATTGTTATCGATTCTGAGCCATGTCACCAAGAGTCTCCAACCATTGGTTACGATAGTCACGCGGACCCCAACCAAGTAGTCTGCATCTACCGACATGGCTCAGACTAGAAGTTAGTGACTTCAGGCACTGATGCCACGTTTTGGTTTGGCCGCCCCTAACTTTCTTCCAACCATCCCCTACCCCGGTTAGCATTGCACGTCGTGGTAATCGGTGTTCAGGCATACGTAATACGTGGCCCAACCATCTCAGTCGATGAAGATTCATAACCTCATCAACTGATTTACCATCATTCCCTAATACCCTGCGTCTAACCTCACTATTACTTACCCGGTGATCCCAGCAGATGCCAGCAATATTTCTAAGGCATCTGTGGTCAAATACTAGTAGCTTACGGGTGTCTTCTACTCTTAAGGGCCATGTTTCGCTGCCGTAAATTAAAACAGAACGAACTGCCGCGCAGTATACTCGTCCTTTTGTTGATAGACGGATATCTCGCCTTCGCCAAAGGTGACGTAAGTTGGCAAAAGCCAAGCGAGCTTTTCGAATCCGTGCTGAGATTTCGTCAGACACCAACCCATTAGGGCTGATCAGACTTCCAAGATAAGTGAAGTTGTCAACGCGTTCAACTACTTCACTCCCTATCCTTAATTCAGGTGTTGACGGAGACCAGTCCTGAAGCAACAACTTGCATTTAGAGGGAGAGAAGCGCATTCCAAACATCCTGGCATTGTTGCTTAGTGCTACCAGAAGACTCTGCATTTTGTCAGCGTCTTCACCAAATAGGACTATGTCATCTGCGTATTCTAAGTCGACAAGTGGACCTCCTGGAAGGAGATCATTGCCCGAAAATTCAGTCGATGAGAATGTTATTTCCATCAATAGGTCTATGATGAAGTTAAACAAAAATGGGGTAAGTGGACAGCCTTGACAGACACCACTTGATGTTGCAGAAACAGGTGACAGTTCGCCATAAGCTCTGACTCGACTAGTAGTGTTCAAGTAAAGAGCCTTCACAAAGTTTATGTACCTCTGAGGTACACCTTTCAATGACAGACACTGCCACAGAAGCTTTTGGTCTACAGTCATATGCTGCTGCTTTTCAGTCAACAAAAACTGTCATTGTCGGACGCCGATAAACATGCTTGTGTTCTGAAACCTGACGAATGGTGATTATGTGGTCGATGTAGTCACGACCAGGTCTAAAGCCAGCTTGATTCTCGTATTTGCAGTTCACGAGTCTTAGTTAGGCATCCGATAATTATCGAGGCTAGTATTTTAGATATTATATTAGTTAAACTAATCCCTCTGTGGTTGTCACAGGATGATTTTGACCCTTTCTTATATATTGGGACGATAAGTGATTGCGACCAGTCAGATGGGATAAAGTCTAATTCCCAGATCTTAGCTAAAATATTAGTCAACCTAATCGCTAAAATTGGACCACCATCCTTAAAGACCTCTGGAGCCAATCCATCTGGACCAGCTGCCCTTCCTCGCTTCAGATTAACTATAGCCTTTTGAACTTCAGCAAGAGTCGGGGGACCTACTTCAATGTTCCATTCACATTGTCTGGGAATGGAGGGTAGTTGTAGAGTAGCTGAAGGCCAGCTGAACTGTTCTCTAAAATGTTCCGCCCATCGTTCTAAACGTCTGGACTGGGAGCAGATGAGAGTATCATCTTTTTCCGAAATAATCTCACTTACACTTGACTTATTAGTTCCAGTTTCTTTTATTAGTCTGTAAAGCTGTCCTGTGTTCCCTATAGTCGCCGCCTTTTCCATCTCTCTTGCTTTCGTTACCCACCACTGCTCACGGTCGTTCTTTAGACTTTTTCTTAACCTAGATCTGATTTGTTTTCGCTCTTCATCATGTTCAGAACCTGATGGGACGAGTTTGCGAGAACCCATCAGTATGACAGACCTTGAAGAAATCCACTGGTTCCTTGCAACTCTGTGGTTTAAGTCACTAATAGATGTCACTGCTGTTTCCACAGCTGATTGTATGCCCTTCCAAGCAACATCTGGGTCAGCCTCGTCTTCACAAATACCTAAGTGTGACCTCAGCTGTTCCTGAAACCTACTTTTGGTTTTCTCGTTACTCAACTCAGTTCTAACGGGTCTTTTTACTGTGGCTTTTTTGCGTCCAGTGAGGCGCAAGCAGATGCGTGCCCGTATTAGGGCATGGTCGGAGTCCAAGCAGGTACTCCAGAATGAGCGACAATCTTCTACCGACCCTCTCCAACGATGACTGATGGCAATATGGTCTATTTGAGTCCATCGTTGGTTTGGTGTAGGGGGTCGCCATGTTAGACGATGTCTCTCCTTATGCTTAAAATTTGTGTTTGCTAAAAATAAACGATTGTCTGAGCATAGCTGCAGCAGACGATCACCATTATCTGTTCGCTGTCTCGGAATACTAAAATATCCACCTAAATGCCTTTCTGTTTGGTTTAAACTGCCTATCTGAGCATTAAAATCACCTGCTACGAGTACTATGTCTGAGCGTTTAGCTTTCTGAAGAAGTTCGGACAGCTTTCTGTAAAATTCATCTTTCACATCATCTGAGCTGCAGTCAGTGGGAGCGTAGGCAGAAACGACAAAAAGGCAACGACGTGTGTCCCTATCCTTCCGAGTTCTTACGTAGCCGTTCAGCCGAACAGCACATAGACGACTGTTGACGGGGACCCACTCTAGCAGTGCTTGTTCGGCCCTCATGCTTAGTGCTATGCCTACTCCTGCCAGTCCACGAGAACTTGCCATCGGGTCACCAGATACACGAAGGGTGTACCTCGTTGGCTCTCCGTTTTGCCGAGGTGAGGTCAAGTGAATGACCACACTGGAATCCTGTATGCGTGTTTCGGAGACACAGCACACGTCAATGGTAAGAGACTCTAGGGTTTTAGCCAAGGAAGCCTGCTGACCGATTTGACATAGGGTTCGTACGTTGAAGGCTCCAATGTGTAGTTTGGAGCGAGGTTTCAGTAGACCTGGGACAGTATATTGCGCACTAGAATCGTTGGCTATGGTGACACTTGAGGTGGAAGCCGAGAGAGGAAATTTAAAGTTGAAAGTCGATGTAGGAGGAATAATAGGAATTGAAGAGGAAGGTTGATTATGAATACAGTGGTCTTGAGTGCTGTTAGAGGTATGAGGGCGGTTATCACTTCCCGGTTGCCCACACCGAGGAAGGGTTCTTCTGGAGGTACCTGAAAAGGAATTTGGATTAAAGGTGGTCTTAGTGACCTGAGAGCGTGACCGCAGTGCCCAAGGGACAACTGCTTGAGGTCGGTCACACACGACCTTGTTATGGGTAATTTTTGTGTTAGCTCCGTACTTAATGAGACCTTACAGCCGGAGACGGATATCCGTGGGATAAGGCGAGGTGTGCATTTTTAGGGTCGACCTTTTCTAACCCCACCCCTCCTTGTGGGAAGGCAGCATCGCTGTTATGCTGGTTGTCTGGAGGAAACACCTTACTGCTGTCACACCTCTGCACAGTCAGCAGTACGACTTTGCCTTCGGACCTTGGGTTTGTTGCTTTTAGTCTTAGCGCTCTTCAACCGACCTGTCTGACATGGTAGGACCTTGAGGAACGGTTGTTCCAGCCAGTATAGCTCGGTTGCTTCATCACGATAGGCAAGCCCGACCACCACGTCAAGGTAGCAACAACGGTCGGGAATACTAGCCTCAATAATTATCGGACGCCCAAAAAACTCATGAACTGCAAGCACGAGAGAATCAAGTTGGTTTCAGACCTGGTCGTGACTACATCGACCACATAATCACCATTCGTCAGGTTTCAGAACACAAGCATGTTTATCGGCGTCCGACAATGACAGTTTTTGTTGACTGAAAAGCAGCAGCATATGACTGTAGACCAAAAGCTTCTGTGGCAGTGTCTGTCATTGAAAGGTGTACCTCAGAGGTACATAAACCTTGTGAAGGCTCTTTACTTGAACACTACTAGTCGAGTCAGAGCTTATGGCGAACTGTCACCTGTTTCTGCAACATCAAGTGGTGTCTGTCAAGGCTGTCCACTTTCCACATTTTTGTTTAACTTCATCATAGACCTATTGATGGAAATAACATTCTCATCGACTGAATTTTCGGGCAATGATCTCCTTCCAGGAGGTCCACTTATCGACTTGAAATACACAGACGACACAGTCCTGTTTGGCAAAGACGTTGATAAAATCCAGTCTTTTGGTAGCACTAAGCAACAATGCCAGAACGTTTTGAATGCGCTTCTCTCCCTCTAATTGCAAGTTGTTGCTTCAGGACTGGTCTCCGTCAACACCTGAACTAAGGATAGGGAGTGAAGTAGTCGAACGCGTCGACAACTTCACTTATCTTGGAAGTCTGATCAGCCCTAATGGGTTGGTGTCTGACGAAATCTCAGCACGGATTCGAAAAGCTCGCTTGGCTTTTGCCAACTTACGTCACCTTTGGCGAAGGCGAGATATCCGTCTATCAATAAAAGAACGAGTATACTGCGCGGCAGTTCGTTCTGTTCTACTTCACGGCTGTGAAACGTGGCCATCAAGGGTAGAGGATACGCGTAAGTTACTAGTATTTGATCACAGAGGTCTCAGAAATATTGCTCGTATCTGCTGGGATCACCGGGTAAGTAATAGTGAGGTTAGACGCAGAGTATTAGGGAATGGTGGTAAATCAGTTTATGAGGTTGTGAATCTTCATCGACTGAGATAGTTGGGACACGTGTTACGTATGCCTGAACACCGAATACCACGACGCGCCATGCTGACCGGTGTTGGGGATGGTTGGAAGAAAGTTAGGGGAGGCCAAACCAAAACGTGGTACCAGTTCTTGAAGTCACTAACTTCTAGTCTGAGCCATGTCGGTAGATGCAGACTACTTGGTTGGGGTCCGCGTGACTATCGTAACCAATGGTTGGAGACTCTTGGTGACATGGCTCAGAATCGATCACAATGGCGTAGGTGCATACACTCTTTGTCTTCACTTAAACACTGAAATTAAAATTACTTTATACCTTTCTTTTTACGAACTACTTTCTTCCTGTACCATATCTTTTATAACGTTCGATTTTCCACGTCACACGAATGGGACGTTAATTTACCTTAGACGAATATGTGAATTAGATTCTCTCCCAGTGTCTATTTTACAGGACTGTAAGACAACTCAGATCCAGAACACGTGATTAGCCTGGCTAGAACGTAAATATATTTCAGCACCCAAAACCGACAATTATGATAATGGTAATTGAATACATAACCCATCTAGTACCTGTCAGACTATCTACAAGTCTGACTAAGCAAACAACGAATCATTATCATCCTCGCCCGCATACTAGTACCCTTATATGAAATCTATCTTTTGCATATTACCAACATTGAATTAACTACTTCTATGGATTCGATTATCATCATGTTCCTGTTATGAGTTGTGGCAACTTGGGACTATGCAGATATGTGTCTGATCTTATGTTGTAGGTAACTGACTTTACTGGTAAATTCATCCACACATTTCTAAATACTCTAATGGAAACTAAAATCTGAAAATTCTTTCTTTTCAAATCTGGTTTCTTTTTTAAGAGCATTTAATGTATAAGAAGCAATCACTTGTGGATGAATTTCTTGAATAAGTCCCCATACTGTCGTACATAGTCTTAGCAGGGGATATAGTCTAAACAGGGTACTATATGTATACCCAACAATCATTATCTGTTTGCAAAAATATTAGTTTAATAAAATTAGTAAAAAAATTCAAAATACTCTTCGATTGCAGAGAACAATAGTCACACCCATACCGAATAGTATCAAAGATACAATAAAATGAATCAATAACGAGGTTTAGTCATGTTTTTTTCTAACTGGTGCAATTTCATGATTTGTAGTTGAGTAAGAAGAGTCAGTAATAACCACTCTGAGAATAAGTGAGTCTTAAGTAGTGAGTGTTTAACTCATTATTGGTAGAGATTGACAGCATGTATAGCTAAGTTTTTCGCTCATTTTAATCGATTACCTTTTATTTACATTTCAGCCTATTGAAGAACAAGACGACGACGATTTAAAAGTGGAATTATAATGCCACATGTATTTCTTTTTTGTATTCTGATATATCCCTGTGTTATTATTCGTTTCTTGGATATCATTTTTATGGTTGCACGTCCTTTCTATACGGTTGTACAATTTGTTTACTTCTTGGGCAATTCCATAAATTTCATTTGATTGTAAATGGATCGTTTTCATTAAATGTATTGTGTTTGGAGCATATAGCTTTTCCACCGACTTCAATTCAGTTATATTCAATTTCGTTAATGACGATGGGCGGATAAAAAGTGCTGAAGAATGAAAACGATCATCTTCAAACGTATTGCATCAGACCGTCGTTAGCAACTCAGTGCCTGGCATAAATGTGTATTGGTCCAAATTCGCACCACGCAAAGGTGTGAATATGAGCTTAGTGTAAACAATAGTACCATTATTCATAAAACCTAAGTAAAATATGGTTTAAAAAGAGCGATTGAAGTTGGAGAGTTGTAAATCAAGATGTACTCCACCGTGAGCAATTTTGAGTCACTTAGCAAAAACTTTATTTCGTCACAGTTATCCCACTGATCTGCGTCTGTTAACACAACTCTATTTAGTGGTATGATTCCTAGTAATCAATGGGAAAAGTCTCGGTTTGTCACTAGACATTAGCTCTATCTGTTATTCTGTAGCCATGCACCACTTATTTCTTCCTGATTATGGAAGCTTCTCAAACACTTATTCAAAAATCTGAAACTTCTATTTCAAAGTAACAATTAACGACGATCTGTAGTACTCAAAAACACGTAGAACTTCACTGTTACGTACATGCCGTGGCAACCGTATGCGACTAATCTTTCAGTGTAAACGACGATCAAACGCAGGCATTCGCCAATGGCTAAATTAATGGCATGGTTCAAAAGTGCTTTAACTTGGGCCTTTTACACCTGTCGTTTTATGGCTGGCCTAACTTCGTGATTGTGCCATTGATGATAAACAATAATGCCTAATACGTAGGTTGCTTCTGTCTATCGTACCATCCCCAATATACAAACATTTTTTATTACATCCAACGCTCACCACAACGTTTGATTACAAACACAGGTTGCCTGCTCGATATGCTATCATCCCAATGCTCAAGGTCGAGAATTCCAGCAGTTATATTACAGCGTAGGTAAGAAAAGTTTGACAATCAGTGTGTTCTGGGATCAGTTACAGAATTACTTTCCTACCAATCAATCCTCTAACCAGTTTTACTTCAGTTGTCATCTGTTAGATCTACGTACCATGAAACTGTCGTATGGCTTACTGGGAAATCCACATTTTAAGGATATTTGTCATGAATACAGTGCCAGAGTAAGCCATATACATGTAATAACAGCATATTTGTGAATGCGCTTATAGTAATAGTCACGTTAAAAATAATAAATCGTATGATGTAATAAGCGGGTCACTTCATTATTAGTGTGTGTTAAATTGGTATTTATACTTAAAACACCCAAACCGTATTATGGGTAATTTAGCTGTCCTAGGTTTTCAGACTGCAGTTAACCTCAACATTGATACCTAACCGAGTTTGTCAATCTACTGATATATACCAAGAATAGAATCACTGATGCATGATGTTGATTTACGTAAAATGTGTCGATTGAACAGTTAGTTTTTCGTGTAATAAAGTAGCAATTAATTTCTAACTGGTTAGGAATACATATTAATCCTTCATTTGTGGTTCATCTAAGTTTGTCGTTCTTAAAAGCGGCCCCTCCCCATCGAAAATATTTAATGAAATCTCTATCTCTTATTCAGTTGTAATAACTGGTAATTCGATGTCAAAAGCTAATTGTTATGACTTTATGTCCGGCTGGTGTTCACGCGATTTATCCACCAATCGTAATACGACTATGCAATCTTCACACTGTGCTTAACCAATGACGTTTGACCGGTATGAGCAGCCAAGCGTCTTTATTGTCCCCTTGTTCGGCTAGCCCGTCCAGAACACAAATACAGCTTCCGCTATGCGAATCATTTATTTCAAACATACTGGGTTTATACATCAACTAAACAGACCGCTACGCACCATGAAATAGGAAATAACATTCATAGACAATAAAGCCAGAAAGTGGCTGTGAACGTGGGAGACAGTAATCAATAAACTAAGTATAACTTAAGAACAGCAAATCGTACAATAATAATCTATGGGTCAAAATGAAGCCTATAATAAGATGAATATAAGTATACACAATCTAATTACTGAATAGTTATACCATAAGAATACATAGATAATATTAACCAATTAATATGTTTCGGAAGTTACTCGTGATTTAATCTTCGCTAGGATATAACATTAATCACTTATATGTGTAAATAAATTTACGAACGGGTTCATAACATTCTGGAGGCTGGCAAGCTCGTTTTGCTTATTTATAATTGTATGTGCTGTAAACCCTAATTAGTTTTTGTAGAATACTCATAGTATGAAAGTATGATAAATACGGATACAATTTTATTATTACAATGAGTTTGGTCCGTCATTTTGAACTGTATAATGTCCATATTTCCTGCTGACTTGCGCTACATGACGGCTCGAATCTGTGCGCGCTAATTAAAAGGACAGTGGTACTTTTCCTCGCTGAGTAGATTCTATTGTTTTGATCGTTTATTACGTATCAAGACTACTGTTTTCACTTTAATTGAATTAATTTCAGTTAAAGTATTCGACTAAAGTATCGCTTGCTGTTTCTGAATTAGTTTATCATCCGTACTCTTGAATACATTATTTTCTACTGTATCTGTTAGTACTTTTGGTCCTAACAATCTACAGTTCTCCACATTTTCGGTCATAGATCATATTTTATCTCTGAGCATTTTTGCATCTCGCTCTTTTTTTGAAAAGGACCCCTTTTTAATGACCGGCAAAAAAAGCACTTGCCAACGTCCGGGTTGTCGTTATCCCGTTGGAAGCGGCATGCAGTGCGATGAGTTCAAAGGCTGGTACCACGTCGTTTGCACGAATTTAACGCCTGTGTCTTTCAAACGGTTCAGTAAAAAGGGTTGCGTTTGACAGTGCTGTTCGGATGTAAACAGCTTGTTAACCGAGGTCATCTCACTGCTAGATGCTACGAAAAAAGTGTTTTAGTAAGCGTAGCCGGGACACATTAAACAGCACTCGCTCTGTCAACACGCAAATTGGTATGAAGCAAACTGAGGTGAGTTCGAAAATAGGTGGCTCACACCGACCAAAGAAGGAAAAACAGTCTCCAAAGACGTCTGTCTTGAACAAAATCTCAAGAAAAGAAGTTTCTACTGTCCCCGTCTTCTAAATGGCATCCAGCAGGAAATGCCTAGAAGCCACAATCGCAAGGCTCGATTGGTTTCTAGCGGGAAACATAACCTGACCTCCCAGGCCGTCGACGACCCTTCAGAATCCACCAGTAGGTTTGACGCATCTGTGGTTGCTTCTCCTAGCAACGTTGACGAATTAGTACAGGTTGTAAGGAAGAAATAACGTAGCGATATAAAAGGCAACCCTACCCCAGTAAAAGTAGTTGTAAAATCGAAAGCTGATCACAGTGACAGACCAGGTATGTTTCATATATTCAAGGAAAGTGAAGGCTCTGAACCAAAAGTTCGTTTAGAGCATGACATTGTGCCAATTAAACAGCTGCCTAATCAACTCATGCCTCAAATTATCATCGGAGTCACCGTGCTAAAGGTGTACAGACTAAGGAGTCTAGCGAACTTGGAACCAAATCAGTCCAGACTGCTTAATGTAGTATTCAAATCTTCGAAAGAACGCGACCTAGTTTTACAGAATGGACATAAATTAAAGGGTTTAGGAGTTTTTATCCGTAATGACTTGCCGTTGGCAGACTGTGTAAAAAGACGGAAAGCCGAAAAAGAACTAAAACTTTGGTTGGACGCTGGCGAAAAGGACATGAAAATTGTGAGTTTTTGAGTTGTAGGACTTCAACAGAGAATGATGCCGAAGCCACTCTGGGTGAAGCACGAAGCCACTTCAATAGGCTTCGGATCTGTTACACCAATGCACGAAGCTTACTTAATAAGCGATCGGAACTAGGTGTACAGATTGACTCTACAAAGCCAGATATAATCGCAGTAACAGAAACCTGGCTGACACAGGCTATAGATAGTATGGAACTTGATTCCGAGGGTCTGACGTTAGTAAGGGCTGACAGAATACAAAAGCGTAAAGGAGGGGGAGTATCTCAATTCATTAGGAATGCTATCGCACTTGCCATTACCGATAATGTATCACATGAGTGGGACGTGGTAATTGGTTAGTTGCCGCTTGAAATGCAAGGGATAAGAGCTGCTGAATGGTTTGGTCTATCGCAGTCCAAGCTGTGAGGTAAATGAAGTCCTGCTAAGCAGTCTCAGAACTTGGTCTGCTAAATGAATCGTCAGAAAATTCCTTCGAGCAGGAACTAGTTGATGCGGTTATCACATGTAACCTAGTGCAACATGTGAAAGAAGCGACTAGGTACAACCCGGACACTGAATCGTACTTACTAGATCTTATACTGACTCACTATGAGGATGACGTTGCGAACCTTCACTACATGCCACCCCTAGGTAAAAGTGATCACGCAGTTTTAACTTTCAACTTCCATATACCTGTCGGTCGCGAGCACGCGTTAGCTCAATACAAACCTAACGTCTGGTAAACAAACATACCAGATATCATGCATTCAGCATCGTCAGTAGGTTGAACAATAGACTCAGAGTCCTCAATTGAAACGGCTTGACACGCATTTCGAAATATATATACTTAAAATTGACTGCACGCCACATCCCTTGGACTATACCAAGGGGGCCGAGAAACTCTCCACCATGGTTCAGTAGGGAGGTCCTCATCCTCCTGCGTAGGAGAAGAAAAATGTGGGACAGATTTAGGTTACTGAGGACTGATGAAACTAAATCCCAGTATAGAAAAGTCCGGAGTACCGGCGCCTCGACCCTCCGTAAGTCTAGAGAGTTGTACGAAGAAAAACTTGTTAAGGAATCCATAGAATGTCTTAAACGCTTGTATTCCTA